GACTTTTTAAAAATGAAGTCAAGGCTGGACTCCTTGGCTCAGCCTGTAATCCTGCACTTTGGGAGGCCGAGGCGAGTGAATTGCCTGCGACTAAGGGTTCGAGACCCGCCTGGACAACTTGTCAAGACCTCACTTCTACAATAAATTAAAAAATCAGCCGGGCGTGGTAGCACACGCCTGTAATTCTGGCTACTGGGAAGGCTGAGGCGGAAGGATCGCCGGAGCCCAGCAGGTCAAGGCTGCGGTGGCCGGGAGCGGCCACTGCACTCCAGTCTGGGTGACAGAGTGAGAATCCAACTCAATAAATAAATAAATAAATAAATGGTTTTAAACATAATTGCAACAATTGCCTATTCCGGCTGGGCATGGTGGCTCACATCTGTCATCCCAGCACTTTGGCAGCTGAGGTCGCAGGATGGCTTGAGCCCAGGAACCCGAACCAGCCTGAGCAATATGGTGAGACCTCATCTCCATAAAAATCAAAGCACTAGCCAGGTGTGGTGGCACGCACCTGTTGTCCCAGCTCCTCAGGAGGCTGAGGCAGAAGGATCACCTGAGCCCAGAGTGAGACTCCAACTCAAAAAAAAAAAAAAAAAAAGTAAATAAATAAATCTCAAATGGGTTAGATATCTAATTGGAAAAAAGAAATCATGCAAGCTCTAGAAAATACGGTGAATTCTTCTATAACTCGTGTGAAAGAAAGACTTCCTTTCTTTTTTTTTGTTTGTTTTGAGTTGGAGTCTCATTCTTGTCAACCAGGCTGGAGTGCAGTGGCATGCTCCCAGCCACCACAGCTTCGACCTGCTGGGCTCCGGCGATCCTTCCGCCTCAGTCTTTCAAGTAGCCAGAACTACAGGCGCACACTACCACACCCGGCTAATTTTTGATTTTATTGTAGAGACAAGGTCTCGCCAAGTTGCCTGGGTGGGTCTTGAACCCGCAGCCTCAGGTAATCCACTTGCCTTGGCCTCCCAAAGTGCTGGGATTACAGGCTGAGCCACTGAGCCCAGCCAGAAAGGCTTTCTATGACTAAAAATACAGATATAAGAAAAAAAAGAAGCTGGGCTCAGTGGCTCAGCCTGTAATCCCGCGCCTGTAATCCCGCGTGCCACAGCACTCCAGTCTGGGCGACGGAGTGAGACTCCAACTCAAAAAAAAAAGAAAAAAAAAATGAAATCAAACTTATCAGTCTTTTTTTTTTGAAAGCAGGATTTATTGAGAGGACAGAAAAGCTCCCACAGTAGGAGGGGACCCCAGGGGGTTGCCCAGTCTTTTTTTTTCTTTTTTTTTGAGTTGGAGTCTCACTCTGTCGCCCAGACTGGAGTGCAGTGGCCGCTCCCGGTCACCACAGCCTTGACCTGCTGG